GTTTAGAAGGATTTTTTAAGACCGAATATCACCATTCTTCTATAAAATAAATTCTTGCCAAACAAGAAATATTTGGAACAATTTTCTAACTTTTATGCTTGCCTGTGTGATTTTGATTTTTTACACGTTTTCGAGAAAGTAACAAAAGCGATGGTGTAAATGAAGCATAAAAGGGCCCAATCTACCTAATATTTTTCCAGGCAGATGTTTTTGTAAAAAATTTCAAAATTTGAGATATTTATAGAAATTGCTGTTCGCATGGTGTAGTGTCATGCTTTGCGATTTTATGGTTTAACTCATTCGAAGCTCGTGAAAAACCTTCCGCTAAAACTGTATACAAACTTTAGTTACAACATATCTTTTTCAGAAATTTGCTTTCTTCTTTCTCAAGTAACATAGCATTTTATTGTCAGAACATCACTATTGCTTTAAGTTTGGAAACATTAAAAATGCTCCTCTTGCAACTTGGGTGGATCTAGGGGTCTGTTAAACTACACTTCCTTTTCAATGCTCACCATAAATACGCTGATAAAATGAAAACAGTTCTTCTTAACCACCAAAGGCACCACAGTGTGTGAATATGTCACGGCTGTTGCACTTCGTTTTCGGATAGTAAATTAACTGAAGCATCCATTCAGCCATCCATTAGAGCTCATTCAAACTCAATTGCTCTGTGTGTTGTGTACGTGCTTAATGGCCAAAGGTTTCTCAGTTGGAGGGCGGACATACGTACCTACCTAGTTTTATATATTTTTTTTTTTTTGCTAGATGATGCGACTGAAGCTGTGCACCTAATATTTTGTCACGCTCTTTGATTTCGTCTTAGAAAAATATATATACGAGTGTGTAGGTTTAGGGAAAAATCCTATACAAATAAATACATAAATAAATAAATATTACCTTTAAGGTAATAGGTTGAAAGTGAAAGGCGTCACACGAATGCAATGGAAAGGTTACAAAAATTTATGTATTTGTTTTTGTATTTTTCTATTTTGTAAAAGTCAGGTTGAATTTGGGATGTACGGCTTGGGAAAATCGCATTCATGTTTGCCTATTAGCTGGTTCCACTTGGTGGTTTTGAAATAGTTCTCACGATCGCGTTGCTAATGTGATAAGCAAAGAAATGTGGTCTCTAACTGTATACATGTAAACAGTGAGTAGTTTGAAGGAAAATCGCAATTAAAAATTGGGATGAATGAAAAAATATAATTTAAATTAAATAAAACAAAATAAAGGAAAAATTAAGAGAAGGAAATATAAAAATAAATTAAGTAAGATAAAATATTATATAAAAAAAATGAAAAAATCAAAATAAAATGAAGTAAAAAGAAGCAAAAATGAAACAACACAAAATAATGCAATAGTCAAAATAAAATAAATCAAAATGAAATAAAGTAAAAAAGAAACATTAAATAAAAAGTAAATAAAATAAAATATAATTTAAAAAAGTGAACCAATATAGATATAAATAAAATCGTACTAAATTAAATTGAATAAAACATAATTAAAGAAAATAAAATAAAGTATAATTAAATAAAAAAGGTTAAAAATTCAAAATGACATGAAAACTAAACAAAACAAAATAATGTAAAATAAAATGAAAAAAGATAAATAAAATTGAATAAATCGAATAAAATATAAAATAAAAAATTAAAATAAAAAATTAAATTAAATTAAATTAAGGAAAATAAAATAAAATTTAATTGAATTAGAAAATAATAAATACAGTAAAATCTAATAAATTAAAATAAAATTAAATTAAAATAAAACAAAGTAGATTAACATAAATTAAAATAAAATAGTATTAAGTTAAATAAAATAAATCAAAATAAAAGAAAGACAATAAAATTAATTTAAATAGAATGTTTACTATATTAAACTCAAAAGTTATAAAAAGCAAACATTAAAAACTATTTAAAGATTAAAAATGGCTCGAATTTTTTAAACTATTAATTATCATTATAATTTTTTATATACATTTTGCTGCACTTCAACCCACTGTGTGGGAAAACGTCATGGCAAGTTGCACTCTATTACACTTTTTGGCCGTTTGAAACAGAGTCAGTGAAGCATCCATCGCATGCGTTTCGAAATTGTTTGTTATATACATACGTGTACATATTAACATACATGAGTGTATATGTTTGTATATATAAAGGTATATCTGTTGGTTCGACTGTATGTGAAGGTGCGAGAAGCAAATGAATCTTTGAAAAATTGGCTGCTGTGGATGCTGCAGAATGCGCTGTTCACCTAATAGTTCGTTATGCTCAGTGATTTCGGTTTTGAAAAACAGAGATGGCTAAAGTTGAAAAAGAAAAATAAATAGAAAAAACCGGTTGTTTGAAGCAAATTTTTTGATTTATTTTATTTACTTAAAATTAAATAATTCAATTTGAAAATTATTTCAAGCATAATCTACTTATTTCCTGGTTATACGGGTCTGTCTGTCTGTATGTTTGTATGTATGTTTGTGGTTGATGCTCCAATTAATTCCAATAATTTGAATAAATTGTAGCAAACGAACAGGATTGCAGCAACGTGGTGTAAGCGTCAAGATCCTTTACAAAGTAAAAGAAGTACGAACGTGATCAGCAGTAAAATTAGTGCTGAAAACATACATGAATGCATATGCATGAATACGTGTGTATATGTATGTATGTCGAAATGTCTGTTCTTCCTCGTTCTTTTGCCATAAATGGGTCAATGGACACGAAGAAAACGAAAGAAATAAGACCGTTGGCCTTGAAAGAACATACATAAATACAAATATTCACAAAAGAGTGAAACACACAATGTCACTTCTGCTGACATAAACATATGTATGCATACGAGTACATATACGTGTCCACATACGTAATTGTTTGTTGGGCTCGCACCCAGCGGGAAATTTGAATGAAGTTCTAGATTGCACAAGCGAAGCGTCAGTTTTTCAGTGCAAACTCGAATCTTAGAGCTTTGGCTGCGATCAGAGAAATTATTTAATCCTTGTTTAACCTGTAATGGTCAGATTTAGTCGACTCAACTACATAAGGAGAAGATTTCTTGAGAGCTTTGTAGAGTGTTACACGTTTTCCACCTGGTAGTGCCTTGTGGAGGATAATGAGCTGGGTGAAAATCAAAAATTATATAAAACTAAATTTTTCTAATCACTGAGAACCTCAGTAGGAAATATAAACCCCCTACGGCTTGAGTAAAACTCTCGATCCCTTTATTTGTTGGAAACACATCAAGACATGAATCGCAAATTAAAAAAAAGGGATTAGGCGTAAAAGGCTTCAGCGGTTATAAACCTTCAATTATAGTTGGACCTAAATAAAACCCGTTTTAATTTCACGAATTTCATTCTCTGATGAGTATTATAAGATCAAAAATTTAAGTGTCAGCTGAATAAACCTACTAGGGGCGGAGTTTAGAAGTTTTACATAAAAGAGTTACAGTTTACTCTTTCTCATGCCCCTCGCCACTGCAGCAGGCTCTCCATCATGAGCTCCTAGGCTTTCTGCGTGTTGTCCTATAAGACAGTGACCTGTTAGAATCTCTTATTACTTTGGATATGCCCCCTCATGTTTAAGAATACATTTTCGAGATCTTTTTCGACCATTTCGGTTAGGGTTGTTTCTGAAATTCTAATACATGGACTCAGAAAAGTGGTGGGGTGATAAGAGGTGCTGTGTTTTTATTGGTAAGTTATTTAGAGAAATCAAATCGTAGGAAGAAGTGATCACAATAAATAAAATTCAGTTTCATGTCTGATATTGAAGGGTTATATGCCTAAATTTGTTCTTGTCGACTTAGCATTAAATTGAGCTGGGCTAGTTAATTTAAAGTGGCAAGTACATCGTGTTTAAGCCAGCGCTGTTAACTTCAAAGTTATGACTGTCTACAGGAGATATTTCGTCATCACACACTTTAAAATTTCTGGCTCTCTGATGTCCACAATAAACTTATCTGAGGCATTCTCTTCGAAATATCATTTCTTTGCGGCTTCGTAGCTCATTTAAATATTCCTGCAGGGCAATCACAACACATGTGTTCCCTTTAAGACGACCTCACGTCACTGCGCCGGCATTTATTTATTCTTTCTTTGCGGTCACTCGTAAACATTTTATGCACTAAAACGCTTACTTATTTTTCTGAGTACCTAATAAAAAACATGAAATTATCGTGACAAACATCTCAAAGGGTTATTTATTTAAAATGCCTACAGCCACAACAACAAACCACAAAACCACATAAATACATATGACACGCTCAATTTCTTTCTGCTTGACTTCAAAGCTTAATCAGCGGCGAGTGAGTGTCTGACATAAATAATAATTCCAAGAGGATCAAATGTCACAAGCAAAAGAGAAAAAACTACAAAAAAAAAAACAAAAGAAAACGAAGAAAACAAAAACAAGCACGAGCTGAGCGACTGAAGGTGCCGTCAACGCATGCCCATAAAAGTATGCTATGTTTGTGATAAGTGATTTTGTTGAGTGTTCGTGTTCGGAGTTTACTCATAATTGGCGTAGAAAAAGTGTAAGTGAGTAAGTAAGAAAGAGTAAAGAAAAAGAAAAATGAAAAGTAGTAAAGCTAATAAATTTAGAATTTGGGCGTGCAGCAAAAATTTTAATTGGTAATAGGCAGGAAGAAGCGTACGATAGGGGGCACCAATGTCTTACAAATATTAAAAAAAAAAAAAAAATTTAAATGAAAAACAAACAAAAGCTGTAGACAGAATTGATATTTTTTGAATATCTTCTGCTAAATAAAAATTATAAAACAATACCGGGGGTTGTTTATGTCTGCATTTTTGGGTTATTTGAGTTCCTTATGCGTAAATATTTATATGTAAATTTTGCAAATGAGTATGTATGTATGTTTTTTTGAAAGCATTTCTTAAGGAAACCTTAAGAATTTATGTTTGCTTTCTTATTTCCTTGAAGGTAACGGACGAACGATAATGGATCTCAAATAACTGCTTAAATAACCAAATATGTCTTGGCTACTCTTAGGCGCTCATGATCAAGCAGAAAGTGACTGAAGGAAGTCTACAAATTTATAAGAAACTAAGCAAGGAAGATTTGTTGTTGCCTCGGACGAGCAGTGCGCAGATATACCTGCATATACTCGTGTATATGTACATATGTATATGTACATACGTGTACATAACTAAATCTTGATTTATGGCACGTATGCTTGACAAAAGAGTATATACGCAGGATCAGCGATGATCAACCCTCGGCGTGAATGCTTTTAAGTTACGTATGTATATGTATGTATATAGAATGCATGCCTTTCTTATGCGTGAAATTCAATATGCCTTTAACGTTTCTTATTACGTAACTTGAGCACGATCAGCGTCTTAGCAAGCAACAGGCGCGCAGATTTGATTAGAAGTTTGCTCGGATTTTTGAAATAATAATATTTTTGTTTTCTTGAAATACATACAAACTCAGGCTCATACATTTAAGTGTATATCCATAAAAAAATATATATATACATACATATGTACATATAATATTAATAAATAGCTGTGCGCTTGGAGAAGGGCAGATTTTCGACAACTACAATTCGACTGAAGATCACTCAAATGTGTTAAAATTATGCATGAACTCTTGTAGATATGTTTGCCAGCTTGTTTGCTTTACACATGCATGCCATTTGGGGTTCAATTCACTACAGATATATGTACATACATATGCACAAATAGTCATGAAAACCAGATCAGCGATAAGATTATTTCGAAAGTACTCAAGTGATCGTAAAAAAGGGTGTTTGAGACACGTGCTCAAGATTGGTATGTACATATACATACATATATGTGTGTAAATATTTAAATGAATCTCACAAATTTTCGAAAAAAGGCAACGAAACTCGCTGTCTTCCTTATTGCGTAGGCTGATTCGATTTCAAACTCTGTTTTATTGGGTTATTTAATTAAGGAAGGAAGGAAGGATTTAAGGAAAAATTAAATTTCAATACCTCAAATAAAATAAATAAATAAATAATAGCATTCATATGTTTTAACACTTATATTTAAAAATATTTGTTATATGCAATTTTAAAGAAATATTTCTTTTACTTTGTCTAAAAAAGGATACTCTGCTGAGATTTAATAGCCAAGTGTAATTTTCAGGCAGTTCTTTTGCTAGTTTCCTATCTCCTTGTTGATGTTAGCCTGTTAAATTTGTTACCCTTAAGTAAACAAACATTTCAAGGGATTAATGCAGATAATGCGGCCAAAGAAAGAGAGAGAAAGAAGTAGAGTGTATATATGTCCATCGCCACAATTGTCTAACGGCCTCTTTCTTCTTCTTCTAGCTCTGTAGTCAGTAAGGCAGGTGAGTAAATCGCGCAGGTAGGTGTCTTCAATTATCATTTCAAGCGAAAAAGATACTTTCTTTGTCATATTAGTCCTTATTTCTTTGTCTTTAAGAAGAAATTGTTGCAGTTAGGCTTCTTTAGTAAAACCACGTTCCTCGGTCATTCAACGAAAACCTTCTACTTTTCACTACTTTCTGTTTTCTTGTTCATTATCACTTTAACAATAATACTTTTCGCTTAGCGAAAATTTTTCAATATTGCATTTATATTTTAGAATTACAATAAATTATCTTGAACCCAAGATTAGGGAAATAGAAGTAAAAAAAATTATGTTTTCGTTCTTTACTCTTTCGTTTCTTTTACTCTCCATTTAAGTTCATTAGTAGTTTCCTACGCGGAATTCAAAATTTTTCAATCTCAGCCTTCTATGTTATATCTCAATGGGCTTGGAATAGTGCTTGCCGCTCCTTTCTCGAAAAGGAAAATTCATAATTGAAATCATATTTTAATTGCCTTTCACTTGAAACTGCCTCTTTCTCATGTTTTCCTGTTGAAAAACTATTCCCCTACTTTCTTTTCCATTGTTTTCTTTTTCCTCAGGATTTTCTTTACAGTGACTGGATTGTACTGAAGCAGGAATAGAGACGATCCAACTGAAATTTATTTTGTACATATATATATATATATATATATATATATATATATAGTTTTTTAAATATGTGCTTTCCTGTTGGTGTTTGTATACGGATATTTACCATCTCCTGCTGTTTTCTAAACTCTGTCAGTTCACCTATCTGTTTTCAAGTGGAATATTTCATAGTTTCAAAATTCTTTGTATTTCAACTGCCTTTCTTTTAATACTTTCTAACTTTCATTGCATGTTTTCCTGTTCGAAAGGTTTTTACGCACTTTGTTTCCTCGCAGTTTTCTTCCATTTTTTCAGTTACGGAGCATAAATTAAGTGAATTTTTTTGAAATAATTAAAGTTCCTTCCTCAAAAAAAAAAAAAGGATTTTCCGCGTATTTCGAAATTTTATTTCTTCACTACAATTTCTAATTTTTATGTTCTCCGTATATAACATAAACTAATTTATTCCATCCCTGTAGGAAATTAGACTGTTTTAATTTCCGTAAAAACAAAAAAAAAAACGAAAATTTTGTGTAGTGGTCTTAAGCCGAAAGAGTTTTCACTCATATTGCGTTCAAAGGATATTATTTCAAGCTGTCTGGTCAAGACCTCTGCTATGATCACAACACTAAAATTGTGCAGGAATGTCACATATCTTCTTTAGAGATGGCTGAGGTGAAATGAATGCCTCTCATTAGGGTTCTTGGAAGTAAGTATATAGAGGGAACAGCAAAGTAGATAAACTTCTTGGGCAAGCAGATTCTTTCAGAAAAAAACGATTTGGAATGCATTTCGATTCACCCTGAACTATTCTATAATAATTCATATATACATAGATAAGTTTCGAGACCAAAACTTTACTCCACTCATACAGCTCATCGTTCCATCGTCTGCGTTATTCGCCGTTGCCAACGCGCAAAGGATCATAAATCTTACGCAAAGCCTTGCTCTCGAAAACTTCTAACGTCGTCTTATCATATACTGTCATCATCCACGCTTCCGCACCATATAGCAGGACGGGAACGATGAGGGACTTGTAGAGTTTGGTTTTGGTTCGTCGGGAGAGGACTTTACTTTTCAATTGCCTACTTAGTCCAAAGTAGCATATGGTGGAAAGAGTGACCAAAACTTAATTTGTCGTAGATCCAAGTGGACTTTCCCTGTCTTACTACTTCCTGAAAGGACGACGAGCTGCCTTCAGAAGACGTTGAAGGCGCTGTTACAACTATGAAGGATATAACTCCCAATCCGCCATGAGAGTGTTCTCGCTTTGGGCAGAAGTAGAATTCTTGAAGAGGATATTCTTTTGACAGGTGACTAGTACCTCAAGTCAATCAACCTCTTGAGGTTTATTGAAGAAACCAGTGTAAGCGATTACATGCCATTGTGTCCGAAATTACCATCTCTACTGGATATTTAAGTACAGACTTCACAATAGAGTTACCCCATCGTTAGCCACTTTCGAGAATATGAAGGAAGTACGTTCTCATGATGAAGGTAAAATGTTACCTGTGCAAAACACCGCAATACACTTAGCAGTCTAATAACCTTTGTGTTGTTGTTGGTATTGTTGTTGTTGGGAGTGACAATCCTTGGTCTTTAATTATCTCGGATATTTTCTTGAGCCCCTAATCCTCCTTTTAGTTGAAAACCAGCTTTATCATAGACTATCTAGAAAGACCGAAAGAGTAATACAGTCTAAGGTTTCAGTACAGGTCTCATACTTTCTAATTTTCGACGAAGAGTTCTTTCGAATACTTACCAAAAACAGTTAAAGGATCTTGAGAAACAATACCGGGAAATTATCCAACGAACGAGGGACTTTTCAGCATAATGAGTCTTACATTTCTGGTTCTCTGTATTCCTTATATAAGTAGGCCATAGAATATATATAAGTATCTAAGGAATACGTTGTACTACGTTTTATCCACTCTCTTATCAGACTAATATTCGTAGATTTGGTGAATTCGCCTTCTTTTTATTTATGTAGACACCGCCTACTCGAATATAGCCATGTTAAGAACAGCGGACTATTCATCGCTTTTATTTTTCCAGTTGAGTGGAAGTCTTTCTTTTCCTCTGCTTCCATCGGTGGGCATCGAAAACTTGAAAAACTAGAGTTTTCTCATTCATGCGGACCATATAACCTTACCAACGCAGCCGGCATCTTTTGATTTGCTGAACCATGTCAACGCCGACTAATAGTCCATGCCTGCCCATAACACAACGCAAATGATGAACGACTTGTAGATTTTGGTCGGGAGGATTTTACTTTTCAATTGCCTACTCAGTCCAAACTGGCATCTGCTGACAAGAGTGATTCTGCGCAGAAATTGGTGTTCTTGCTTGTGAAAGATCAAGATGATGACAAGAGATGTTTTGTTTTGCCATCCTTCAATACCAGACCCATATGCTTGGCATCCTTATCCAGGCTGGAGAAAGCAAAACGCACAACGCTGTTGTTGAGATCAATAATGTTATAAAAATTAATCAGCCGTTAGGAGACAGCCTACATCCATTTGTTAGACGAACCTCCAGACGTGAATTGGCGACGAGGCTCTGCCAAAAATCGCTGGCTGTTGTTGTTTTTTTGAAATATCTCTTAATTTTCCACACACAGAACGCAATTTATGGGCGTCAATATATGAACTGATGACTAGCTTGAAATTGTGCTGGTTATTGTCCCACTGTTTGAGTAAAAATAATCCTAAAAATATGGAAGGGAAATGAATTTAACAGCAATGCGAGCTCAATGGCTCATCACTTTCTGTTATCCTATTGAATTATCGTTCGTTTTGAGGTGAGGAGGCTAATTGTTTACATACATAATTCTTATTTCTTTTTGTTTTACTTTCGCAACTGAAAAATAGTAGCAGATAAGTTGGGTGTAATGCCAGAAAAAAAATATCCTACGCTTGACTTCTGCAATCCTGCTGAAATGACTGTATTGAATACCAGACGTGCGCAGAATTTTCTCACACTTATTTACGGGTCTTTTTTACATTCATTCTTATTGCATGCATATTTTATCTTAGTAAACAACAGCAACAACTGTGTTAATTTCCTGTGTCCTATGCATCTCGCTGTTGGCTTTGTTTGCCAAACATTTCCGGTCTTAAACGCGATGAGATTACTGCATCCCGTGCCCTTTACGAGTGTTCTCTTTTTTGTTTGCTATAAATCACGCCTCTTCTTTCATTTCATAATTAAATTTTTTATTTATTTCCTTGCAATCAGCTGCATTTCCGCTTCTTTGCTTGCTACAGCTGAGTTTTGTGGCACGATCACTTACGGCGAGCTGATCGTGCAGCTGACGGTACACTTCCGCTGCAGCTGAAGTGATTTTTGTTGTTTGCTTGTTTGTTTGTTTGCACTTCCCATCACTCTGTTGCTTATTGTCTGTTGTTACTTTTGGCACTTACATTTATGTATTTACCTTTGCTGCCGTTTCGGAAATTGTCTTACAACAAGTGTCATCTTTATTGCCGCATATCCTTTGCTGCTATTGCTGTAAGCCTGCTCACTTGTATGGTTGTGATTTAAGATTTTTACAAAATTTCTCACGATTTTGGTAGCCAAAGAAAGCGAACAACGAAAAAATTCTCACGCTTTTTATGG